GGCGTATGTTATGGACAATGAACACAGGTGAATTTTATTGATGGCATTTTGAATGCACAGAGATACCGTGACAAAATCCTGAAAATGGTGGTCACACCAGATACTGACTGGTTTTCGGACCCCCCAATACAGTAAAACTGCACATTTTAGAGTGGCCTTTTATTGTGGCCAGCCTAAGGCACACCTGTGCAATAATCATGCTGTCTAATCAGCATCTTGATATGCCACACCTGTGAGGTGGATGGATTATCTCGGCAAAGGAGAAGTGCTCACTAACACAGATTTAGACAGATTTGTGAACAATATTCTAGAGAAATAGGCCTTCTGCGTACATAGAAAAAGTCTTAGATCTTTGAGTTCAGCTCATGAAAAATGGGGGCAAAAGCGTTTATAATTTTGTTCAGTGTATATATATATATATATATAGAGAGAGAGAGAGAGAGAGAGAGAGAGAGAGAGAGAGAGAGAGAGAACAGCATTGTTATTAATTTATATTTAAAAAATAATAAGAAAATGTTATATGAGCATAATTTATCTGTGACCTGCAGCGTAATGATCAGTTTCTGAAAAAAGTAAAAATAAAATGTCGATTAAAATAAAATATAAATAAAATGTATAGAAAATAAAATTGGTTTATATATACAGTGGTGTGAAAAAGTGTTGGCCCCCTTCCTGATTTCTTATTTTTTTGCATGTTTGTCACACTTTAATGTTTCAGATCATCAAACAAATTTAAATATTAGTAAAAGGTAACACAAGTGAACACAACATGCAGTTTTCACTCATCTATGCAGAATTTTTTTGTAATTCAGCCACATTGGAGGGTTTTAGAGCATGAACCGCCTTTTTAAGGTCATGCCACAGCATCTCAATAGGATTCAGGTCAGGACTTTGACTAGGCCACTCCAAAATCTTATATATATATATATATATATATACACACACACACATTTTATTTTTTATACATATTTTATTTGTACTTTTTTCAGAAACTGACCATTATGCTGCAGGTAACAGATAAAATACGCTCATATAATATAATGTTATGTACGCAAATGCCTGTTATCAAATATCTCACTACATATTCAGGACTGGGGGCATCAAAAGTAATAATATAGGGGGGAAAAGCATCTGTTGACCACTAATGTGAATATTTGAAGCACCGCGTCCCACTCAATGTCAGTGGTGATTACAGCTCTGCCTGTTGTTCATTGAACCTCACAGATGTTTTATCGCAGAGTAATGACTCCAGTGCATGATCCAGTTAGACTATCCCTGAGGCTTTACTGAACTTGTGCACTCATATTTTCCCAGATATTTCACTCTTCATGTCATAGCTCATGTATCACTCACTCCCATGCAGGGGGTTAATGTCTTCTACAGTCTTGTTTTGAACAGAAAATGGCAGCTATTTAATGAGTGTACACGATACAACCTTATCTTGTTTGTGCAGCAAGAGATTGTGTTTTTATTCATTCATTTATATGATTATTTATATAATAGGGCGTTCACAAGCTTTTCTCTCTGCAGAAGACACAGGGTGTAGTCTGAGAAGTGCAATGCGCTGATTCGGACAAAATTCCTATAGTTCCTATACCTAGACAAACTGCAAGACTGGTGATGTAAGAAAGACACCAACTGGCCCACAGTGTTTACTCCACCCTATAGCAGAGTGATGTACTGTGAGGTTGCTTTGGATAAAACCATCTGCTTAATGTAATAAGTGTAAATGCAATAAAAATGTCTCTAATGTATTTGCATTATTCATTAGTTTCTATGTTGCACTACTAGTGGATGTTATTCTCATATGAAAAACTGATTTAAAGGTGTCCAGTAACACAAATGTCTGTTTTCTCTAACAGTGATTTTGTATGTTGTACTGTGTTTGTAAATTTGTATAATTTTGTGAATTCTGTTTTCCAAAGTAAAATTCAAATATCATCAATATAATTTTGTAATAGTTGTTGGTTAAACAATACAATAATAATAAGAACAACAATAATAATAATAATAAAACATTTCAATGCATTATTTTTATTTATGTATTCATTTATTTATCATTTAGCTTTAAAACAGGTTATAACAGGTTAAATGACAGGTTACATTATGACAACTTAACCCATATCATTTTGTAGTTAACTAAAACAAAAAAAAGTTTCTTGAAATAAAAATAGCTCAAATTAACTCGATGCACTAAAAAAACGTCTCGGGTTACGTATGTAACCCTGGTTCCTCGAGGGAACGAGATGCTGCGTCGAAAACGCTGGGGGAACGCCTTCTGCGACCCACGCTCTGAATCACATGTGAAATCAGTCCATCATGACCAGGACGCTATAAAAGCACGTGTGGCAGAGCCAGTGTCAGCTTCTAGGTATGAAGCAAGCGCTGGCAGGGACGCCGGAAGTATGGCACCGAGACGCAGCGTCTTGTTCCCTCGAGGAACCAGGGTTACATACGTAACCTGAGACATTCCTCTTCAGGAACTCAAACTGCGTCGAAAACGCTAGGGGAACGAGAATGCCCATGCCGCCAGACTTCCAAGTCTCTGCCTAGTGTAGAAAGACTGCACAGCTAGGGCGAGAGAACAGAAGAGCCTGGAGTAGAAAGATACAAAGTTACAAAGATAAGGGGCGTGGACCAACCCGCAGCTTTGCAGATGTCCAGAAAGACTGCACAGCTAGGGCGAGAGAACAGAAGAGCCTGGAGTAGAAAGATACAAAGTTACAAAGATAAGGGGCGTGGACCAACCCGCAGCTTTGCAGATGTCCTGCATAGGCACACCCGCTAAAAAAGCCTTAGAGGCTGCCACACTTCGAGTCGAGTGAGCCTTAACCCCTAACGGCAAGGGGACATCAGAGGACTCATAACAGATGGAGATGGCATCCACTATCCACCGACTGAGGGTCTGTTTAGTTGCTGGAATACCTCTCTTAGGGGGACCATAGCACACAAGCAACTGGTCCACCTTCCTCCACAGGGCAGCTCTGTGGACGTATGCATCCAGTGCTCGCACTGGACACATACAATTAAGCTTCTGCTGGTCTGGTTCCCCGAAGGGAGGAGGACTGAAGGCCTGAAGTATGATGGGCTGCGGTGCTGATGAGGGGACTTTAGGGACATACCCCACACGAGGGTGCAGAAATGCTTTGGCCAAACCGGGCGCAAAGTCAATATAGGAAGGGGCCACAGAAAGGGCCTGTAAATACCCAACGCTCTTAAGAGAAGATATTGCCAGAAGAAAGGTAGTCTTTATCGTAAGGTGGCAATCAGAAATCTCTTCGACAGGTTAGAATGGAGGCTTACAGAGAGCTTCTAGCACCACTGCTAGGTCCCACGTGGGGACAGGTGATCATACGAGAGGCCTCAGCCTCAGCGCACCGCGGAGGAAACGTGTAACCAGGGGGTGTCTCCCCACTGAGATGCCACCGAGAGGGACACGGTAGGCCACAATGGCCTCCACGTAAACCTTCAGGGTGGAGTGGGTTAACCCTGTAGAGAAACGGGCCTGCAGGAACTCCAGTACTGTACCGACTGGGCAGTTAGCTGGGTTGAGCTGGCGGTCTCTACACCAGGAAGTGAAAAGTTTCCACTTCAACGCGTACAGTTTCCTGGAGCTCTGGATTGGAGGATGGTCTCAACAACCTCAGTTGAGAGACCAGAAGCTACTAGTTGTGCCCCCTCAGGGGCCACACCCATCACTTCCACAGCTCCGGGCGGGGGTGATAAATCGTGCCCTCCACCTGTGAAAGGAGGTCCCTCCTGACGGGAATCTC